GAAAGAAAAGGAAACCAATACACGTGTCATCATGAGCTTACATGTTGACTTCTGAAATTTGAATATGATGCCTTCTCCGGCTCTCCGCCCCTCGTTGTGTGTATACACTTCATCTGATTTTAATACTGTTTTCCTGTCATTAATATAAAGGTCCATTAATAATTTAAATAGATAACAAAACTAATTAAATTAGTTATTTATAATAAATAGATTTGTCTTTCCTGAAGCATTCTTACTAATCAAGTGTATTAGCTAGAACTACTATACTACAAGGATTATCTTGAAAAAAATAAATAAATATAAGAGACAAAATGGATTGAGATTTCATATTTAGCATCAAAATAAAAGTCAAACAAATTCTTATATTAGACGAAGGAAGTATAATGATTAGATAACGAATTTGTAAAAACTAAAAAAATTATTAATTACGATAATTATGTTAAAATTGTATGTTGATTTTTTTAAGATATTTAATTTAATCATTTGCATTAGAACTATTCTTATATGTAGTTGATATGAATAGTTTGTGAACACGTTATACATTTGGCATAGAAAGTTATCAATCTCTTATATTTAGAACTAAAGTAAGTATCACAATTTTCAAATTCTGTATGCAAAGCATATGACTATTGTAATTATCTATCTATATATATAATATCAAAACTTTAGCAAATTAAAATAAATTATTATATAATCCAATAAAACAATGCAGCCCATTTTAAAATCATCATTTAAGGCATGGACCAATTAGTAGCCTGGGCAGACCTGCAATCCTATTTAGCTTCTCAAGGCAGTTCCAAACTTCCATAGTTTTGCGTATGTGGGCATATTTTAATGAAATTAAATCACAACTATTTTGAAACCTTATTTTGTCCGTAACATTCGTTATCTAGAAAATGAGTTGCATTATTATTTTTATTTGTGAATAGAATAATAATCTATTACAAATTTTATTTTTGTTCCCATGTTTACCAAGAAAATATATATATAGAGAGAGAATTATAATGAGGTCCCAAACAAAGAAAATAATTGAAAAACAAATACCAGAGATTATCATTCTTACTATAAGACTTGTGATTATAGGTTGTTGAGATTGTTATTGGGATCTTTTGATAATTATTTCTCTTCTGTGGGACTTGATTGTAATTTCCCTATATATATATATATATATATATCTTCCAATGAAAAGTCAAGGTCCAATTTCATTTGAGGCTGGTCAAAAAAACAAATTTTCATCTGAGGCTTTGACGCATACTTGTAGATATATCATCGGAAGTAGGATTTATCCCAATAAGATTTCCAACCCAACAAAAAAAAAAAAGGTCTCTCAATAGGATCCTCTTTTAAAAGAAAAGCTAATTAGGCATGAGATTTGACCTGAATAAATATAAAATTTCAATTTATTTTATCTTTCAAATTTATATATTATTTTTCAAAATATCCATATTTCTTATATGAGGGGGTTTTGGGTTTGCACATTCGAAGGTAATCATGATTAATAGAATAATTTAGAAAACTCAAATCATATACTATCTCTTGTTCTAATTATAAAATCTCATTTATAATCTACAAATGAGGTCTTATAATTAGGACCGGAGGTAGTATATTATAAATAACTAATTAACTAATTTTAATAATTTATCTAAATTAATTAATTAAGTATTTCATTAATTACTGGAGGTAGTATTTATCAACTTTGTTGGTTGGTATGAAGTTCATATTCTAAGTGATGCTTCTAAGTTGTAAGAACACTTTCTCTGATTTTTATTTCTTTTTTATTTAATATTCTATCTCTTATCTCTATAAAAACCCGTTTGGTTCAAGGAAAATTTGAAGAAGGAAATGAAAAATCGAAATTTTCAAGTGGCAGGTTGAAAGAAGAGGTTGGAAAGGAATTGAAATGGGACCATGATTTTTCTTTAAAGAGCTGAAAATGGTGGGAACCAATTTCAGTCACCCGCCTAAAATGGTCCTTTCCAATTTGCTCTTGTTAATTGCTTTGTTTCCTAAACTCAAAACAGGGGCAAGCAAAGCATGATGGGAAGAAAGAATGAAAAATGAGAAAAATATTTTTAACCTATGTTCATTCTTTTAATCATCAATTTAAAAATATAAATTTTTTTTAAAATGGGTCTTATTTTATTAAAAAGACTTGTAGAGGTTTTAAATGAAATGTTACTTGTCCATTTTGAATGAGCAAACCTGAATTTGATGGAGCAAATTTGAATTTGATAGACAATTTGCTGCGGAATTTGCTGCAATTTTGCAAGAAATTCAAATATGCTTGGGCAAATTCAAATATGATGCACGAAAATTTGAATTTGGTGCATCAAATTCGAATTTGTTTTTTTTTTAAATTTTTTATCATATTAAAGTTTAAATTTCACCAAACATAATTTTAAAAATAAATTTTTTTGGATGTGTCTTATTGTATTAGAAATTAGGCCCAGTGAGCTTTCCAATCAATGGTATGTTATTTGCCTAATTTGTATTTAAATTAAGAAATATACTCCTCCAGTTCTAAATATAGAACCTATTTTGTAGTGTAAATTACACAACAAAATGAGTCCTATATTTAGGATCGGAGGAGTATATTTTTTTCATGTCATATTGTATCTTATGATTTGAAAACAAAATGAAACCAGCTTAAAATATATTATATAAATTTGTCTAAAATGCTTAACTGATAAAAATACAAACAAAGAATTGAAAAAAAAATTACAATTCTCCCAAGCCAAAATTAGGATGTATAATCTTTATATAATATTTATATCTTTTTCATATTCAAATTGATTATTTTCTCTTCTTTAATATATTTTATTTATACTTTGTTATTTAATTTTTTTTCTTATTTATTTGTTAATCATTTAATATATATAGAGTATTTTTTATTTTTATTGAATATTCATATTTATTTATTTATTTAAATTATAATTTATTGATTTTTTGAATAATATTATTGTGTAAGTTTGAAAAGCATTTTTTATTTATATCATTTTGTCTACTTTCAAAAGAGCATTTTTTTCTTTAATAATATTATATTTTTCTATTAAGAGTATTTGGGTAAAATAGCTCAATTTTCTCAATCCAACCAAACATAAATTTTTGTTGAACTCATTTTCAATTCTAGCAGGTCAGAAATTTTTCATTATTTTCTTTTCAATTCTTTTCAAATCATTTTCATTCTAATTGATTTTTTAATTCACTAAACTATAGAACACTTTTACATGGAAGAATTAAAGGAGAATTATAATGAAGTTTTAAGTGAGGAAAAAAATTACAAAACAAGTATAAGAGGTTGTCATTTTCTATCCTAAAACTTATTATTACAAGCTGTTTAGATTATTATTAGAATATTTGGTATTATTATTTTTTTTTGGGATTTGATTGTATTTCTCCCAAGAATTAATATAAAAAAAATATAAAAAGTCGACGTGAACTACTTTGGGCGGGGGCCTGAACGGAAACAGGTGACTCATTCATGAATCGAAGGGCGGCGGTTTATTATTTGAATCGCCACGTTGCACTTGTTGATCTCCACACGTACGTATTCTTCGTCTTTCTTGCCGCCTTTCTCTTTTACTTTTGACCCTCCACCAAAACTTGACACGTGGAGATCTGCTCAATCTCAACCCTCCTCGTGTACTCTCTTCATATGCCCCCCCACGCCTGCCATAACTCCCTTCAACGCGTATAAAAGAGCCTCATGCCCTTCATGTTCCTCTTCATTCAACAAAAGACGATCATGAACAGATTCAACGGGAAGATCCGAGCCTCGAGAATTCTCCAATAAATGTCACAGGAAGATGCAACGAATCAACACGACACTGTCTTCGAAGATATCGTCCATGGAAGAACAAGAAGAAGATGAAGAAAGAAAGATACAGAAAAAGAGCAGCTTCCACGTCACACGGTTCCATATCGGTGATAGGGAAGCGGAGGATGATGGAGGACGCCGTGAAGATAGTACCGGGATTTATGGGAAGCTATGACTTTTTCGCAGTCTATGATGGTCACGGCGGAGCTACGGTGGCCAACGCTTGCCGCGAGAGGATGCACTTGGTGGTGGCGGAGCAAGTAATGAAGGAGGGAGCAGGTCAGAAGAGAGGATTGGTGGATTGGCGTGAAGTGATGTGCTCGTCCTTCATGAGAATGGATCGTGAAGTCGTCGGAGAAGATGGCACGGTTGGTTCCACGGCGGTGGTGGTAGTTGTCAGCAGTGACCACCTGCTTGTCGCCAATTGTGGAGATTCTAGAGCTGTACTTTGTCGTGGAGGAGTCGCCTTCCCACTTTCAAAGGATCATAAGGTGGTGATCATCGCCATATCCAACAGAACTCTCCTTTATCATATCTTTTTCCGCTTCTTAGAACTGTAAATGACGAAATAATATATGAAGTAACTGAGAAATTAAATGTACGTTGTTTGAAAAACCTGCAGCCAAATCGACCAGATGAAAGAGAGAGGGTGGAAAAAGCCGGAGGAACAGTGATAAGTTGGAACGGGGATCGTGTCTTGGAATACTCGCTACTTCAAGATCCATAGGTACCGTTATTCCCCCCCCCCCCTAATGGACCGTCAAAAAATATAACTTGTAATTCTAAGCTTCCTTTCAATTATAAATTTAATTTTCATATATTATTAATTTAAAACAACTCAATATTTATACCTTGTTACCTCTTGTGAAAAGTTGAATTTTATCCTAAATATAAAGTTTTGATCCATGTTATCTTCTATACTTATCAGTTTTTATTTCAAATTATTGTTGTTAGGTACATATGTTAAGGGAGTTTGCATTAAATAATAGTTGTGTTGTGAAGAGGATTTTTCAAAGAAGATGAAGCTGACATATATTTTTGACATGTAACTAATTTAACTACTTCGTTTTATCTACTCACGAAGTTATATTTTATATTAAGGATCAAATGAAGTATTTAGTTAAGGAATTATAATGATCGGGTTGTTTTGTGCTAAAATTAAAAAAATTAATCAATAAGTGAAGAAAAATCTAAAGAGTGAGTAAAATTTATATGTTTTATTTTCAATTTGTTACAGGCGATCATTGTATGAAGCCATATGTGGTATCAGAGCCAGAAGTAAAGGTATATGAAAGAACAGAGAGGGATGAGTTTATGGTAATAGCGAGCGATGGGCTATGGGATGTGATATCCAACAAGTTGGCTTGCGAGGTGGTGAGGAGGATTTTCAAGATGGGGTTCGTTAAAAATGGGGCAGCAGAAGCTGCAGCATTATTAGCAGAATTGGCTATGGCTCGAGGAAGCAGGGACAATATTAGCGTTATTGTAGTCCGGCTTAAGTAGCTTAAAGTTATATATATTGATCCAGCACTACATTTGTTTTTCTTTTTACACTTTTTTCCGAAGTTTTCAAGATATATCCTCTAATGTGAAGCTTGTCTATACTTCATACTTTTTCTTTGTATCTTATTTTTAGGAAAGAATTAGTTATCAGTTTCTGTAGTTCCATCTAATCTTTAAAAGTCCGTTTGGTTGACGGGATACTTTGTAATGCAATGTATGAAAAATTGTTATGCTTATAATGAGACACATATTATTAGCTACCAATATTCTTTCTTTTACAAATTAATAAATTATAAATATAATAATAAATAATTGATGAAACTATAAAAAGTTGAAAAAAATAACTGTAAAAACTTAATTTTTTTATTTAAGTCAAAATGATATTAAAAGAAGATAAGTTTACATAGTTCCTTTATAGTAAGCCCTACATAACTAGGAAATAGGAATGAAAACACTACAAAAAAATTGACTTTCAGCGGCGACAAAAGTCGCCGCTGAAAGTACAAAAGTTGCCATCGAAAGTTTTTTGCGGCGACAAGTCGCCACTGAAAAGTCGTTGCCGTAGCAGCCGTGGCTGAAAACTTTCAGTGGCGACTAAAAAGGTCGCCGTTAAAAGATACTTTCAGCGGCGACTTTTAGAAGTTTCAGCAGCGACAAAAGTCGCCGCCGAAAACACTTTCGGCGGCAACACTCTTGTCGCCGCTGAAAGTGTTTTCTGCGGCGACTTTTTTGTCGCCGCTAAAAGTAATGCCTAAGAAGAATTGGCTTTACCAATGCCACGTCATCACCGCCGGTGCCACGTCATCGTCTCTTGCCGCCACGTCAGCACCGTCGACCTCCACGTCATCGCCATCGGCGGCCACGTCATCACCGCCGACCGCCACATCATCACTAGCCACCTCCACGTCATTGCCACGTCACTCCTCCTTGCCACGTCATCGTTTAAATATTTTCACCTTAAATGTGTCTTCTTCCAGGTTCGAACTCGTGACCGCCTCCCTTCGTGTCCAACCTTCTTGCCGCTGAGCCAGATTGAATTTGTTTATTAATATTGTAAAATAAAATATATATTATTATATTATACTTTCAGCGGCGACAAAAAAAGTCGCCGCTGAAGGTCCACTTTCGGCAATTTTTTTATTAATATTGTAAAATAAAATATATATTATTATATTATACTTTCAGCGGCGACAAAAAAAGTCGCCGCTGAAGGTCCACTTTCGGCAATTTTTTTATTAATATTGTAAAATAAAATATATATTATTATATTATACTTTCAGCGGCGACAAAAAAAGTCGCCGCTGAAGGTCCACTTTCGGCAATTTGTTTATTAATATTGTAAAATAAATATATATTATTATATTATATTTTCAGCGGCGACAAAAAAAGTCGCCGCTGAAAGTCCACTTTTAGCGGCGACACTTTTGTCGCCGCTGAAAGTCCACTTTCGGCGGCGACAAAAAAGTCGCCGCTGAAGGTCCTTTCGGCAATTTGCTTATTAATATTGTAAAATAAAATATATATTATTATATTATACTTTCAGCGGCGACAAAAAAAGTTGCCGCTGAAAGTCCACTTTTGGCGGCGACAAAAAAAGTCGCCGCTGAAGGTCCACTTTCAGCGGCGACACTTTTGTCGCTGCTGAAAGTCTTGGTTTCAATGGTGAACTTTCAGCGGCGACTAGAAAAATCGCCGCTGAAAGTCTTGGTTTCAGCGGCGACTTTTTGGTGTCGCCGCCGAAAGTGGACTTTCAGCGGCTACTTTTTTTGTCGCTGCCGAAAGTCGTCGCCTAAAGTCTGTTTTTTTTAGTGAAAAGAGAGGGGTGCTAAAGAAGAATAAACACAAGAAAAATTAACTGGACAACATCGTTTTTAAATCTTGCCAAATGACTGATTGATGATGATGGAAGGCTGTAAGATTAAAGTTCCTCTTATTGATGTAAATGATTTCTAAGAAATTCTGTGCAATTTCATTAAGGCGCCTTCTACAAATGATTCAACAAAGAGCTGCACACAAACAAGTGTAGAAGAAATGATTGGTTATCTCTTTGGTTTTTTTTTTTAACAAATGCGCAATACCGGCTGTCCTGAACTACAAACGATGATATGACAATATAAATTTTTTTTTTATTAACTTTGTTCTTGTAAAATAAAATAAACCAATCCTTCTTCTAAGAGATAATCATCAGCAGCATTTCATCTGGAAGAAGTAAGATGTGCTTTTTTTTTCCCTTACCAGAGAAATCTATGGATGAAAATGCCAAGGACTTCTCTAATGACCTGATGTGGAGGCTAAATGACACCACTATGACCAGCAATATTTTTTTACGCTAGATGATTTTAAAAAGGACAATTATTCCTTGCATAATATTATTAAGGCAATCTGAGTGAAGAGGATAGAGTGTAGACTTCAACCAACTCGAAAAATATGAAAAAATGTGTTCTTAAAATTTTATCAAACTGGTTGCTTTGACATAAGGACACGAGATAAAAATATGCTAAAAATTTTTATTATCATCACAACTAAAAGGATCGAACAAGAAACAGAAGAATTGAGATGATGTGTCATATATAAGAACATGTGCAGTTGGTATTGCTTGATGGAGTAATTTTCAAATAAAGAGTAGATATTTAAAAGTTAAGGAAATAGACCATAAAAAGTGTCAAAAAGGGTCTATTAAACCAGTAGCAGCAGAAGAGGTAGATTCTATAAAACATTGATTAAAAGTGAGATAAAATTATGGGAAGAAGCATATTAGTTTTTTTTCAAAAAAATGATATCAAACATTTTGACAGTTTGACGTGGTCTTGTATGGTTTTTTTTTTAAAATATTTTTTAATTAGTATACCCTCCAATTCTAAATAGAGTCAATTGAAGAAATTATTTGGATCCTAAATATAATAAGTCAATTAACTTTTTCTTTCAAATTTATGACTTTAATTTCTTTTTAAGTTAAACTTAATATTACCTCTAATATTAAATGTAAGAGTTAAATGAAAAGTTTATTTTGGTCCTAAATATAATACATTAATCTACTTTATTTCTTAAATTTATAATTTCTTCTGTAAAGTATCCTATTGATTGCATATGGTAAAGCAAATTTCATTAAGAAGTAGTTAAATATAATACACATGATTAAAAAAATATTCTTGAGAAATCAACAAATATTTATAACAAATATCTAATTCAACTAATTTTCTTAATATCTATAAATTAATTATTTACTTTTATATTAAAAACAGGAAGTAGTATGTCAGTACTTAAGAATATTTTAATAATATTTAAAATGTTGGCCTAATCATTTTTTATTAACAGCATTAGGTTATTTTATATTTGAGTTCCTATATAACGTTAGCTAGATAACTATTAAAAAGCTAATAATTTTTCTAATAAAAAATTATCATAAAAGTTAAACAAAAATTATTTTTGTTGGAATTTACTGATTTGTAATGATAATAATATATTGAAATAAATAAATAGAGGACGATGTACATTTCTTTTTTGGTGAATAGGACGATATACATTTTAATCCTTATATATTTTCTTTTCGTGATCAGTTATGTTCATCAACAAATTAGTCCTTATAGTTTACTGAGTTAAAAAAGTTATAGGGACTGGGCTGTCCCAAAATAAAAAGATATTATAACTGAGTTTCTTATGGTCAAAATTCAGCTATTAAAACAATAATTAAGAAAAATTCACGGACCAAAGTTATATTTTTATAATAAATACAATCATCCTGAAATGAACTGCGAACTTAAAGTAGTCTTTTTGATACAAAACCTAAAATAGCAGGCTTAAATTTTAATACGCTTTGTAAACTTATGTCTTGTGTTTTTTTTATTAATAATATTCTTTTCTTTTCTTTTTTTCAGCTGAGTTTGTTAATTACATTCAACTTAAATATAATAGAGAGAAATGCATTTTGTGAAAATTCCAATTAAATCCGGTTAAAATATTAAAATTCGGATTGAGACTTACACTATTAACAAATGCCTAATCAAGCCAAGAGGACTAATTCAAAATTTTTGAAACTTACAAATTTAATAAATACCAAGAGAAAAACCAGATTGGACCAACTGATTTAACTAGAAAACCATTCAACCAGCCTAGTTTAAGTGCTAAACCAACCAAAGATTAAACTAATATCAACCTGGTTAAACCGATAAAAACTAGAGTGAACCAGTGAAAACCAGTGTGAATTGTTGATGAATCGATTTGAATGATTATGTTGTTATTGGTTCTATTTTTTCTTATTAAGATCCTAACATGTCAATCACAATAGATTTGAATGAATTTTAATAATGATTTTGATATTAATAATTATTAATTTTAGTTATTAAGAAATCATAAGATAAACATTCTCAATATTGTTGTACTTTGTTATTGTTACAATTAAACTATTCTTGTATTTCCTCATATTTTGTTATAAATGATTATTAACATTATTGTATTTTATTATTTTCAATTCAATTATACTATTTTAATATGACAGGTTTGATTTTAAGTTGACTTTGATTTGACTTACTGACCTTTAAATTGCTACCTCAACTAGTTTAATGTCTAGTCCAATTTTTGTTCCTTGATAAATACCTAATTCCAAGAGGGCTAATTCAGAAATTTTGAACTTTATAAATTTATCATAATAACCCAAGAGCCAAGATGTTTACTAGCTCGTTTTCTCTCCCTCAATCAGAAATCGCTTTTCCATGTCCATCTCACTCTCTACTCACCTCCTCATCAGTCATGGATGTTCTTTTCTTATGCTCTCTTTATAATCCTTCTGTTTCTTTCCTTTTGAAACTACAATAAAATCATTTTTAATTCGAACATGAAGATGAATGACATAATCTTTTGGGAATCGGTCTGTTATATGGAGTTTGAAAGGCTTTTTCTCTCTCTCTCTTTAGGCTGTATTTGGTTCAAAAGAGAGGAGGGGAAGGGAGAGATTTTAATAAAGTAAAAAAGAAAAGAAGAGAGAGAAGGGGTTTTAATGAACAAAAGGAAAATAGGAGAATTT